ATAGTTAAGTGCAGTAGGGTGTATAGGAGAGTGCCTAGGGCAGTGGCCACTTCCCGTGTTTTGGAATGCCACCCTGGAACAACTGCAGAGTCCTAACAAACTAACAGAATATGTGGAAAAAGTGTGCGGTCAACCTGGCAGTGCCCAAGAGATGCAAATCACTGCAATGTGCTGGGGTCTGGCCCATGCCTACAGAGTCCTTTTCAACACTATTTGGTGCCCTCAAGGAAAAGAGAAGATCTCTGAACCCAAAAACAGACTGGCAGGTGCAGCAGCTATTCTAGTCCTTGTGACAAGCACTGTGGCTACTCAGACCCTGGTGGTAGGTGCTGCACCTGAACCAGAGAACCAACCTGTGCTGGCATCAGTCGCCCCAGTACAGGAAAAGAACTATATGAAAAAATCAGTTTGCTTTGCAGTGGATGACGATGAACCAGGGTCATCACAAGAACACGTGGAAGAGTCAGCGGTGGTCACTCGATCCCTACCCCTGAGTGAACTCCGAGATATGCGGAAGGATTTCAGCGGTCATCCAGGCAAGCGCATTATCACCTGGCTGCTCTGATGCTGGGATAACGGGGCTGGCAGTTCAGAATTGGAGGGGAAGGAGGCCAAGCGGTTGACAAGGAGGTTGGAAAATGGACACAAGCCCTCAGCCTTGGAGAAAAGGTACCTCCAAGGTACCTTTCAGCTATCTCCAAATGTACCTCTTCAAGGGAGACATTACTCCTCACCTGGACAAGGGGACCACCACGGAGAAAGGTAACCGGTACCTAAAGGAACTAGCTGTGCTGGAGGTGCTTTATAGTGATCCGAGTGACAGTTACTTGCAGATCCAGATGAAGTCCAGTGCATGCCACCAATGTAGCAGATGTTCCTGCAAAGCGCACCCCCACCATTTGCCAGCTCAGTGGCAGTAGTGTCCCGGAAGGATGGCCAGGGAGAAATGGTGGACGAATTGGCTGTCTGACCCTGGCAATATGAAGGAAGTTGCTCTTCCTATGGGACTGCATTTCAGCTCTGGAAGAATTGTCCCAGAGGTCCAGCAACTCAGAGGACATGTCCCACTCTCCACAGGCCCATGTCTCAGCTATTAGGAGCAGATGCCCCTCTGGCCAAGAGGAGTATAGGGGGTATACACCACAGGGTACCCTGTGCTTTTACCTATGTGACCATGGAGAGGACATGAAGAAGTGGGATGGAAAATACCCTTCAGTCCTAGCTGCACAAGTACATGAATTGAGAGGGAGTGCAGCTGTGAAAAGAGATTCTTGGAAGAAGAGCACTGCTGCAGTTTCCAGTGGGAAATCCCCCAGACAGAGTAGAAAGGTTGATCTCACTTCTGATCCTCTTGAAGGGACTTCTAACTCATTTTCAGAAGTCAGTGACTCTGATCACAACTAGAGGGACCATGCCTCCAGCCAAGGGGAGAAAGGGGACAACTGGGTTTATTGGACTGTGTGGATCCAATGGCCTGACACATCTGACCCACAGGAATATAAGGTGCACATTTTACCCTGATGGCATCCAGCTCCAGGGGGGTTGAACCCATCTGTATCTCCGAGGTGACAGGGGGATCCCAGCAGCTCACTGTTCTGGAGGCTGAACTGACTGGGAAGGGGTGGCACAAACACCCCATTGGGACTGGCCCAGAGAGGCCCCGTGCATTCTTGGCATAGACTATCTGAGGAGAGGGTATTTCAAGGACCCAAATGGATACTGGTGGGACTTTGCTATAGCTGCCTTGGAGACTGAGGGAGTTGAACAGTTGTCCAGCCTGCCTGGTGTCTCAGAGGACCCTTCTGTGGTGGGGTTGATGAAGGTCAAAGAGCAGCAGGTGCCAATTGCTATCACAAGAGTGCACTGGCGTCAGTGTCGCAGCGGCTGGGACTCCCTGATCCCCATCCAGAACCTGATTCATCAGCTGAAAAGCCAAGGGGCGAGCAGCAAAACTCGCTGCTCCTTCAGCGGTCCCGTGTGGCCAGTGTGAAAGTCGAGTGGAAACTAACAGGGGACTATCGTGGCCTGGATGAAGCTGCACCACTGCTGAGTGCTGCCCTGCCAGAGGTGCTGGGGTTCAGTACGAACTGGAGTCGAAGGCAGCCAAGCCTGATACACCACAACCGATATGGCTAACATGCTTTTAGCAGCAGAGTGCAGGCCACGGTTTGTTTTCACTTGGAGGGGCATCCAGCATCAACTTCCCCAGGGGTGGAAACACAGCCCCACCACTTGGCGTGGACTGACCCAGACTGCATGGGAACAGGCTGAGGCACCCTAACACCTGCAGTGCAGTGACGTTATGGGGCAATACAGCAGTTTTCAAGAAAGACAGGAGAGTAATTCAAATCCTTCACGGGCCTGCACAAAAGACCCAGTTTTTAGGAAGAAAACGGCAAGATGGGTGTCGCCAGATCCCGATGGATGTGATCGACAAGATAACAGCCATGTCCCTGCCAACCAGCAAAAAGGAAACACAGGCTTTCCTGGGCACTGTGGGTTTCTGGAGGATGCACACCCCAGACTACAGCCCTCTCTACCAAGTGACCCAGAATGATTTTAAATGGGGCCCTGAGCAGCAACAAACCTTTGAACAAATTGAATGGGAGATGATTGTGTACCCAGTAGCCCTCAGGCCAGGACAAGATATTAAAAATATGCTCTACACAGCAGCCGGGAGGAACCTGGAGCCTCTGGCAGAGAGCATCTGGGGAGACCCAAGGCCAGCTGGAGCTGGGAGTACAAAGGATCCGAGGCCAACTATACCCCAACTGAAAAAGAGATCCTGGCAGCATATGAAGGAGTTGGAGCTGCCTCAGAAGTGGTCAGCACTGAAACACAGCTACTCCTGGCACCCTGACTGGAGGTGCTGGGCTGGATGTTCAAAGGGAGGGTCTTCTCCACACACCATGTGACTGATGGCACATGGAGTAAGAGGGTTGCCCTGATAACACAGCGGGCTAGAATAGGGAACCACATTTGCTCAGGAAACTTGGAAGGGATCACAAACTGGCCAGAGAACAAAAATTTAAAAATATTAAAATCTTTGACAAGTTAAATCAATATACTGCGTACCACAGTACAGACTCACTGCTAATCTCCAAAATGAGGATGAAAATATACAGCAACATCAGTTTTTGTACTGTTTGTGACTCACCCTCTGCAGGAATAGTCCACAACATAAGGTGTATATGGACCTTGTGCTCAGCCCTGTACTTCCCTGTTGAACACACAAGCCAGAGTTGGCTTGTGAACTGGTACGTGCCTAACGGCTGCAAACTCAGCCCCTAAAAAGCTTCTGCTTCCAAGGCTTTTGTCATACTTTGAGTCACTGCTCTACATTCTGTCATGAAGACATCAAGATTTAAATAATTTATTTAAATCACGGCTACATTTTTTTTTTTTATCAGAGTTTAGTGAGTTGCAAAAGGTAACTTATTTTTCTTTCCCCTTCAGCATTACTTGGATAATGGTAATTTGGGGAATTTTTGTGGCTGGTTGTGTGCAAGCAGGAAGCCAATAATCATTTTGTTTACACAGGTTTCTATACTTGGCAAGTTTCAAGAAATAACTAACTTGAACCAGAATTTCAAACTTAAAGTCTCAAAAAATATAAAGCTAAAGAGAAAACAGTCCATAAAACATGAAACAAAATACTACCAGATTAATTGGTTTGGTTTGATTCCATTATAGCTCCCAGAAATTTTCAATAATAAACTAGTTGTTTTAAAAGGCAGAGACAACATAAGTAACGCCGAGTACATGATAAGCCTCATTAAATGTCTAGAACACCCTTTAGAACATAGTGAATACATTCACATTGTGTTGCTACCTTTCACAACAGAAGTTAAATTAATGAGAACAGAACAATTTTGTTTTGTATGCCAGAACTTTTGCATGTCCTTTCTTCCAGAATATTTGAAAACTAATCTTTTCATAATTTTATCCGTTTTATATAGGAAGGCCTTTTAAGATAAGCCAAGTCATCTGTGTATGACCAGCATTTCATTAACACAAACTTTCACCTTCTTGTTCTAAGCATCATCTGTAGGGCATACTTCCATTTCAAGCTAAAAGGTGAAGGATTTATTAATTATTTTTTAAATTATGTCACCACTCCCAGCATCTGATATATTCTGTATTTCTTCAACTTAAAGCATAATGAATAATTCTAAGCAGAAACAGAACTTCCCACATACTCCTTCCAAGAGTGGAGGACTTGCACTGAAGTTTATTTCCATCTGCCACACACCCTGGACAAAGTAAAATCCTGACCTTCTTCTCCCCAGCAGTTACCGGCGAGGATTGACATTCCAGAAACAGTGACATGAGCAGACGTGCACTTCAGTGTGTGATCTGACATCAGCTGTCAGACTGAAGAGGGAATTCTGTGTAGGTTTTGAATTTATGACCTACTAACAAATTTTATACTCCCCTACTTTTAAGGCTCTTTGCTATGAACCTCTCAAAGGGTTGACTGGGGAAGAACTCTTCATTTTCAACAGAACAGATGACTGGCTTCTAAATAAGAGATATTTCACATCAGAAAAAAAAAAACAAAACAAAAAACAAAACCATTAGAAAACTTTAAATAACATCTCACACAGCATAAGCCATGGCAGGCATCAAGTTCTAACTGCAGAAGAATTACACTGCTTCCCAAGACCCAAGATTTGTACAAATGCTTCTAAGTAGCATTACAAATGTCAGTGAGGATATTGTCAGCTGACTTCCCAGAAATTTCAATTCATCGCTATCTCATTATTTTAGGGAGCAGGTCAGCCCATGTCTTACCACACAGCCTCACCTGTCTTCTTACAAGAAGCGCATGTATAGTCTTTGCATTCCTTTTTAGAGTAAGCCTTTCAAAAAAAGGATTGCAGAAGTTCCCTTTTTTCTTTTTTTTTTCTGGGCAACACACTTGCAAAATGTTCACTCTTGGAGGTAGCACGTATTTGATATTGATTTCATAGGTACATTTCTAAAACGTGGATTGTTGTAGATTTAAGCTGCTGTAGATTTAATAACGCAGATTTCATCATTGTCCTCTTTCAAAATGGCACTAGGAACCTCAGTAAGTAGCACAGGTTTGTCTGCTAAAAATCACTCATTTACAGCGTAGTCTCTTGGCACATTCTGACTGGAATATTATAATGTCTGTCATCTTCAGTTATGAGAGTCACCACGGGCCAGCCCTCCTCCGGGTCGTTGGGGTAATGTGTGATGAACTCACCAGTACTGTATTTGTACAGTCGATACACTTGGATGGTATACTGCAGGGCATAAGCAAGGAGAAACATCTCCACCTGCATTGGGAAAAAAGCAGAAATACAATGTATAAAATTAAACATACTTTTTACAAGCTTTTTCTCGTAAAAATGCTAAAGTAATACCTATCAGATACAATTTTTCACAGAAAAAGTATGAAGTGAGGATGGACTCTAGTTCAGTATCTCAGCCACACACCTCTGAGATGCCACACCTTTAACATGAAGCTCTTCAGACCCAACAATGGCACAGTAGGATATTAGTCCTAAAGAAAAGCTACTTTATACAGAGACTCTACTTCCTTACTGCCACAAACAGGTGGGAAGGACATTCTCTCATATCAGTGTGCACCTTGTTAAGTCACCAAACCAGACAAGAAAGGGTTTCAAGCAACAATTCTTTCCTTCTTAGAGGGTACTCTGAACTCTGCTAGCCAAATAAAAAATAGATGGAAACCCCTTACAAAGCCTGTTGATATCAGAAGGAATTCAGAGAAAGAAGCTGGAAAATCTTCTGTCTTTTCTACTACCGTGGCAACCGTAAGCTGTTCTAAAGAACAGTTTACAAAGAATATCACTGAAATAAATGCAGTCAGCACAAAATTAGGTGACATTTCTTGTTGACTAAACAGGGCAGCAAAAACTTCACAAATGAATCAGCCAAATTACTGTAACAGCAACCTGTCTCATCTCTACTACAGTCAAGTTTTTAAACCAATAAACAGACACAAACCATAATACTTCCAAGTTTCCAGAGTCCATAGTTAAGTATTGAATTTAACTGCAGCCCCATACTTGCAATGTATTCAATGGGATTTTTTCAAATGGATGTTTCTAAAATATTTCAGACTATCCAGCTCATTAACCACTACATTTTGTTTTGGGGCTTTTTTGTAATATGCATAACCATTTCTGCAATGTGTAATGCAGCAACTGTCATTAGTTTATCAGAATTCACCAAGTACCTGTGATACACATGATCTCCTCTTCATAATCTGAGTATTAGCTTTTATCATGACATTTTTTAAAAAGCTAACAAACAAGAAACTAATACAAATGTTGCTGTTAATAGAATACCATACTTCCAAAGAATGCTACCTAAGTGTTGGCTTATGACAAAAAAAAAAAGATATTTAAGAGGAAAGCCTTTAGAGACTTACTACGAGCAACCAGTTCTACTGTATTTTCCCAAAAAAAAGACCAGACACTAAACCATTAAATTTAGTCACACCAACAAAAACTGGGTGATTTCTTAAACCACTTGGAGCCCGAATCTCCAAAGCAGGAAAATAACACTACCAGAAGAATCTCTCCTTACCTGTTCAAGGCCTCCACTGTGGCCAATATGATTCAAGTGATTCCGCATTAACTGACAAGGATTGCCAGAGGTGTCGCGTGCAAACAGTAACCACGAGAAGACAGGAACTCTCCTTCCATCTTTACCATCGTTGTATAATTCAATGGCAGTGTTCAACATCAAAAACTTCAGCGCTTCATAGAGACTATACTCCTCCTCTTCATTTCTAAACAATCTATCACAAGCTTCTTGTTTCTCAGTAGGACTCTTGATTTCACTTATATTCTTCCACTACAAAAAAAACGACACCCCCCCCCCCATGTATCAATAGCCATCACCACCTAAGAGCTGCAAAAAGCCACTTGTGATGTGTCACATGTTCAGCACAGGCACTCAGAATTCACTTTATGAAGGGCTTTCTGCCTTTTTAAAATCAATTGAGACTATTTCCACAGCAGTAGTCCTATCAAGCTCAGGTTGGGTTAGCTTGATTTTGCTTAAACTAGTCCTTAAGCAAAAAAGGATACTGAAAATTCCTGCGAGATGGCAAAACAAATATTGTCATGGGACAACAAGCAATAAGGAAATAACCTTTTTGCTTCCTGCATCATAAATCTTAAATCCTTCATATTCTGTACATTTCAGTTACTCAGAATGCATATTTCACTCTGGCTCTCAAACTGCTCGAATGCAATCATTTAAATATTCTTAAAAGCCTTAAAAATAATAATAAAAAAAAGAGAATATGCATACACAGTAGGAAAGGAACAAATGAAGTTTTTAAATAGGTTCCAGAGTTTCAAGGGTGGGGGAAGGATGGGGCTAGGTAGTCTATCTGAACACTGAAAGTGCCTTGTTTTGATGACCAGTTCAAGAGAGCAACAGCATTTACAGTATACATCATTCCTTTAAATAAATAGAAGAAATTGAGGCAAAATGTTACTGTTACATTAATTTCTTCACTGAAACCTGTCCACTTTAGTTTTCTGCAGAGCTGCTTAAAAATTAATTCCAGCATCAGGCCAATGCAAATAGTGAAAGATCAGAAAATTCCCACAGAGCTGAACAGATATTCTTTCCTCAAGTCCTTTTGCAGTATACAGAAAAGTGACTTTCACTAGTGAAAGCATCCTTATACTAAATACACTATATTAAAAAATATTTTTTTTCTTATTTGCAAGTGATCAAGAACAATCAAATACTTTTCCAACCTTTTCCCTTAGAAGTATTAAGTACTCTTTAATTTCATCACTTATTTCTCCCATCTGCCTGCTGAGTGTATGTTTTAGCTGCCACTGCTTCATCCAGTCATACTTGCTCAGCAAGTTTTCGGGAAGCTGGAAGTTGAGAGAAGAAAAGGCAGCTTAAGTGAAAAAGTCTTCAAAGAAAAAGCCACAAATGTACACACTATTATTTGATTGTGGGGTTTGGGGTTTTTTTGTTGGTTTTGTTGTTGTTAGGGTTTTTTTTTTAACATTTTGCACCTTGAAATGATCCCCCATATGTTCTTCAAAAGAGGTGTCATACTAAGATGACCGTATCTGGACACAACTGGCTCTTTATAATACTTACTGAGTAACAGTAATAGACCAGTATTCTGTCTGCTTCCAGATCTAACCAATGTATAACAGCACTGGAAGAATTAATCACCTCAAGTTACTCATGACTTTTTTCTTTATTAAAACAAATTAATCCAGCAGCATATGACACTGACTTTGTTTGAAAGTGTCCATGACCCAACAGAAGAGGAGGTTAAAGATTTAAAAGATGTGCAGATATGATGCTGAGGGACATGGTTTAGAGATGACCTGGCAGTGCTGGGTGAACAGTTGGACTTGATGATCTTAAAGGTCATCTCCAGCGTAAACGATTCTGTGTTATGACATCCACCAGCTAACCCAAAAGTCCTGGTGGAACACAAACTACTTTGGATAGAACACACAAACTGTGCTTTCTTTTCAGGAAACACAATTAAAACACTATGGGACAGGTTTTCTTATCGAGAAGAAAACAACCTTGGGATTAATTGATGATGCATCAGATCATACTTCAGCCTCAGAACTGGCTCATTTACCACTCACATGCTACACCTCCTCAGTCAAGAGCTTTTACACTTCTCTTGAAGGACAGCCTGGCAGCTGCATGCCCAGTTCTTTACCCTCATTTATTAATCCATTTTACCACTAAAACTGGAAGAACAACTTGTGTCTCACAATGAATCAAGTATCTGTCTTGAGTAGCTATCAGTCACTACTGGCCAGTTTTCATTTTATCAGGATTGCAGATTAGTAAGAAGCTCTCTTTAATGGCAACCAAATATTTGTTAGATATCCATAGACCTTCCCCCACACCCCAGTGTGGTATGCTATGCTAACTGGACATATAGAACTAAAAAAAAAAGAAAAGATTATATGCCAGTAACTTCTACAACAAGAAATGCGCATGTAAACATGATTTTAAATAAAACAAAACCAAAAAGCTTTGTTAAAGTTGTACTGCTAGCTTTCACCACACACATTTCTCTTACATGCCCTCTGATTTGACACATTAATAGTTTATCATTTCCATCAGTTCATATTATAGTTTGATACTTTTTTAAAAAAAAAATCTTAATTAACATGTGACACATTTTCCTCTAAAAAATTCACAAGTTTTTGTAATTACTGGTAAAAATGAAAAATGACACCTTTTTTTTTTTTTTTTCCTATCAGCCCTAGTTTACTTAAGAGGTTTACTTTATGTGTAACAGGGCCCCTGAAGTTACACAGGAAGATGGTAAGAACAGCGTGGTTCTGCCTGGACTGCCAGGTTAGGGCACGGTCTGAGTCAGACATCCAGCACCTGGGTTTGCAGCAGAAGCCTGGGCAGCTGGAACCTCACTCCCCTGGAAGAGGCCACTTCTGCACAGGCAGCTTCTTAGCTGTTCCTTCCCTGTTCACTGACACTAGCAAAGGGACTTTGCTGATGCAAGACAATTTCTGGAATATTTTTCTTCTGCTAGTAAGATACGTTGCTTTGCCTATCTATCAATGCTCCATAAGAACTGTTCCCCATGTCAGGCTGGAGTTGCTCTTACACTTCAGTAACGTTTAAAAGGCAGGTATACAACACAGGTAATACACACATTCTGAAAAGCCTGCAGCATCCCAGTTTGTTAATCCATTTTCTGGAGAAACCACATATGGCACACAAGAATACATAGGATAATTTGGAAATGCTGATTGGGTTTGGGGTTTATTTGAACATTTGAACTTATTCTAAATAATCTGAACACATTTCAAAAGCATTTTTATTATTTCTAAATAATTCTAAAGAAGTTGTCTATATTTTTTATTACCAGCTGTCTTGTGGGAAAACTCTTACTGCCACATTACATGCAGTAAGAAGAAAACAGGAGGCCAAGATGAAGACAGTCAAGTTACATTCCAGTCAGCACTATAGTGTGGGATAGTGTAAGATTTATACATTATAAATGGGAAACTAAGGGGACCTGGACTCAGTTCCAGGTTGAAAGAATCACCGTAAAGGTACAACAAAACTGAACACCACCGCTTCTCAAAGGATACTGAGAGGTGAGCTTATACAGCAAAATAGAGAAATTACAGCATAAAACTATCAAATAGGTTATAACCAAGGTTCCTCTACTGCCAGAAGATCAGAATTTTACACACACCATAGTAAAATCCTCACTCTGCAGCCAGCTTGGTAACTGGGTGGCTTGGCTTAGTGCCTGGAAAAGTGTTGCTCTAAGAGCACAATAGTTGTCACCTCGTATTCTCCTTATAGATGCAAACTTCTGAGCAACTGCTTCATATCCCTAAAAACACACAAAATGCAAATAACACAAAAGTATTAATAAAACATTTTAAGGTCATGCACTGGCATCATAAAAGATATTAGAATATTAGCATCCAAATGCTAATGCTATCTAAAAGCAAAGAGGTTGATTCACTACCCATTTTGCAAGTTCAGATGCTTTTGTCACAAATAGTGTTGTGAAAAAACCTGTCCTTAATTCTACTGAATAACAACCAAGAAACCAAAGAAATTTAAGTACGTTGTTGCATTTATTTGATGACAGTGCAGAAATATCATTGACTTGTGGACAGTTAACCTACTGAAGTTTGAAAAAAGAAAATCCAAACATACAAATATACACACAGGTCTATAAATCTAAAAATACAGCATGACTACAAGAAGTTTCAGCAACAGCTTATTCATTTACCAAGCATGTGTCACCTGTAGTTTCTTTCTGCCTCAGGGAAAATTTGTGTTTATGCTGAAATGTCTCAACGCACCCTATATATTCCCATACGTATACTTTCAGAAGCAGCAGCAATGTTGAAACTTAACTTCTGAAGCTCAGGATGTCTCTTCAACTAACCTAGCAAGAGCCAATGACCTGTGCATCTGTATTTCTCCAACTCATCTCTTGAAGGTGACACATGGATCTTTTGATTTACAAAAGTATTTTTTAGCTTTACTCATAAATAACACTACATTTTCAAGTTGTAATGAAAAAACCAAAACAATAAAAAAAACCCCAACCAACCTTATGCTTTATTTTCTAACATTCCAGCTCAAGATTAATATAAGAAAATTAGCTCAAAACCTACAAAAAATAAGAATTCAGGAAAAATTTAAGAAAAAGTGAGCCTATTCCTTAAAGCTTCCCCATCTTAAAAATCATGCAATTAACCAAGTTCAGTGATTTGCCTTCTGCCAAAAGGTTTGATTATCTGCTCTGCCACTTCCACAGCCCACAAGATTACCATTTAATGGCAACAAACCAAGAAAAAATTCAACTGAAAACAGTACTGAAGAACACTATTAATCAAAAATCTGTATATATAATCACCAAGTAGCCTTACTAAAAAAACACATTTTGACCAAGTATAAACAAAACTGTCTTCCAGTTGTCAGCCACTTTAAAAGCAGACACTGGAAAACATTGCTATTTCATTTCCTGTTTCAAAGACTGTTCTCTTAGGAAATCACCTACTAAACATGAAAATGAAAACAAGCAAAAAAAAAGAAAAAGAGAACTGAGACCTTTCTCATCCTTTTTGCTACTGGTGTATTTCCTCTCCATTCTCTCCTGCAATACTCCAGGATGTCCATTTCAGGTGCAACGCTTAGTTTACCTTCTGCCAAAAACAGAAAATGTAACTTGGAGAACTGTGAAACAGAACAACATAAAAAAAAGCACTGAATTTCTAAATATTCTCCCCCACTTTAAAATAACATCAGTGCTAAATGAGACTGGCAGCACAACCCATAGCCACCACAAAATTATTAGTATCTGAGGGTAAAAAAACCAGCTTGCTCCAAAAATGAACAAAAATAATTATGTGGCCCAACAAAATAGAGAACACTGCTCCTCTCTTCTGGAAAACACTGAGTGGTAAAGAGTAGAAATTAGCACTATTCATTTTCTTAGCAACCAGGAAAGTATTGGATGAAATTTTCTCCTCTTCTTTCAGCAGATAAATAAGGGAGAAAAATAACAGATCATCTGAGGAAGTCAGAAACAATGGTAGAAAGAAGAAATACAGTTTTCGCTTGGAATCCCAACAGCCTTCATTCCAAAACAGGTATGGCACTAAGGTTATCAAGAGATCCCAGAACAGATGCTGCTATAATGACTATAAATCAGTAATTTTCAAGCACAGCACTCATAAACATAGGTTATATGACTGCTTTCCAAAGGAAAAGAAAAACCTTTTTTTTCCGAAGGTTTCATGTTCTCTTGTAAAGTAACTATAGAAACAGAGGAAAAAAAACATACTAAGAGCAAATAGTTTAACGTAAAATTGATCTTTTTGTGAATTACGCTGTACAATGTACTCAGCCATGATAAGTAACTTCTATTACACACAGAGACACTAGTGCACAAAAATCCTTGGAAATGAGGGTGTCAAGTCATCACTAATTAAGTGCTGCAATAAACTGTAAAAGTGCATCTGAAATGCCAAAGTTTAAACGTACCTGAAGAGCTTGTCTCATAAAGTAATAATTTTTCTCTCTCTATTTCTTCTGCATCACGATACATGTCCTCCTCACTGCAACAAAAATCAACACATACTTCAAATAATAGCACAAATCTCACAGTCATTTACTTTTCCCCTTGTTTACAACTAAAGGCAAGTAATTAGGTCATTTTCCACATATTGTTTTCAAATCCATTTGCTCTGCATCTTACACGTTTTCATAAAATCAACAGGAGGTGTCACAAAAAAAAAACTAAAAAAACTTCTCAACTCTTT